GGGCGCTAGTCGGGCGCCCGGGCAGCGCCTAGCGCCTAAGCGGCCTAGTCGGCGCCTAGGCGGAATCTAGGCGGTCGCCAAAAAAAAACAGTAGCAGACTTGCAATTTGACAATTTTAATGAGGCTGTTTTCAACATTCAATCAAATAACACATCCAAATAAATGACGTAATGACAATTCATAAGTCATAACATCAAAAGAATATTAAAAAAAAACTCAAATGAAATACCCAAATACTTCAATCATCCAAAGATTGAAAGTATCAAACTAGTCTACGAGTGTATATATATATATATATATATATATATATATATATATATATATATATATATATATAGAGGCGGGTTCAGGTGCGGCAGTGTCTTACGGTGCGGCAACACCAATAGTTCACCAAATATGCACCATCAACGTTATGAAATACACCACACAAAACAGAGTAAACAGAGCCCTGCATCACCAAACACACACCATTAGGTGTGAGTAAAAACACCATACACTGTTCGGAAATACACCATTGGGGGTGGTGAGTTATATGGTGTGTTTTTTTGAGTCTGTGGTGTATTTTGTGATGTTTTATTACATTTCATTGGGGTGTGTTTTTATTACACTTGGTGCATATTGTTAACACTGTTGGTGTATTTTGGAATTTGACCGCACCGCCGCACCGTAAGACCCCGCCGCATATGAGCGCTCTTCTATATATATATATATATATATATATATATATATATATATATATATATATATATATATGTGTGTGTGTGTGTGTGTGTGTGTGTGTGTGTGTGTGTGTGTGTGTCATATAAACGAAAAAAATTAGCAAGGTCGAGTCGGTCGGGTTAACTCGACTAACTCGACAAAAATTGACGAGTTAACTCGACGTAATCGGACGAGTTAGGCTAGGCGGCTGAATTAGGCGCTAGGCGGGCGCCTAGGCGGTCGGTCTCCTAGGCGGGAGCCTAGGGGAGAAATCGCCACAGCCTATGGGCGCCTAGCGCCTAGGCGCCGATTACTCGGAGCCTAGGTGGGATTTTTACAACCCTGATATATATATATATATATATTCTTCTTCATCTTGAAAAAAAAAAACATGTATATATATTACATACCTCAATTTTAACGAAACAGAGTAATCTAACATTCAAACTCTCATTCAACGTTAGAAGTCAACATGTGTAGCCAATTGTTGAAAACAAAATTCTCCACTTCTGCCTTCCTGAGGAATCAACTAAAAAACCAAAGAAACTAAGATAATGTCTTTTTTTTTTTTTTTTTTTTTGCTCTATCAAAAAAAATGATTGTAACATGGCTTCTGGAGAAATACAGCACATTAATTACATAGTACTTAGCAAGCACTACACAGAGGTGTAAGTTTTAGGAGATAATTTCATACTATGATTCTAGAGAAATACAGCTTCTGATCTCCATTTTTTAGTTCATGCTGCAAGCTAAGGCAAAATGAATGAATTTCATCCATATATCCTAGGTGATTTTTTTATTTTTTTTCCAAACAGAAATAGTGATATTATTTGATGTTTGAATGAATAGAATATAATTAGTCGTTGATGAATATGGTTCAATAGTTACGAAGATAAGATACAAACGAACATCGATCAGTCTATTAAAGAACTTTTCATTCTCCGTTGGCCTGGGGTAAATTAAAGCTAGCTAGCATCCTTATTCTGCAGGCTCTGTAAAGAATACATTTCAAGAATACAATAATGCATGCAGTCTAGAGCATTCAGTTGCTTAATTAAAATAAAATGGTAAAAAAAAAATCACCTAAATTAAAGAATAACTTCGATCAGGATTTGAGAGCCATATTATATTGTTTCGAAACCAAACCAGGATCGCTATCAAATCTTTGATTTTAGTAACAGCTTTAATTTTGTAAAGAATGTAAAAGAAAATAAAAATAAGAATGAAGCATGCATGATGTAGCCTCTAACCTCAAACATTCTTCTTCATAATCGATATGTTGAATGAGAGACAATTGAAACTAAAATCAGAGAGATTAATTAAGCTCCCTTCTTAAGCAGATTACCACCTTTAAATGGCGGCCTCTAAGAGAGAGAGAGAATAAGCCCACTCAATCTCAACTTCTGCAGTAGCCAGTAAGAGGAAACATATATAGAGTGATTGGAAGGGTTACAGTGCAGCAAATAGAAACTAATTAAAATGGTTAGCTTCTCGATCAAGCCCCTCCATAGTCAAGATTATCCAAATTCATGGATTATTGCTGCACAACTCACAGCTGAAATTGGATCAACTCATAGCTAAGGTTTGAATTGAAGATCAATACAGTACATGGTAGATGAAGTCATGAGGAACCAATTCAATTCATTTGTAACCTTCAATTATCTCTACAACCTAAAGTAGCAAAACCATTTCATTTCTGTAAATGCAGATACAAAGACATATGCAGCCTTCAACATACGATTTTAAAATAACTGTTAATTCACTGCAAGCCATACCAAGTCGTCTATTTGTGATTCATCATATTTAGGGATTTTGATCTTTAAAAGAAATAGTTCAAAACAGAGAAAACAATGAGATGAGATCAGAAAAAAGAAATAATAACAAGATTGTAAATAAAGTTAGCATCCATATGGAATAGAAACGAATTAAATGATCACATGCTGTAGCTAGCTTCTAACCTCAGAAATGCAATTCTCATTTCAACTTGCCAGTCTCGAATCTGCTTAGCAAAAGCAACAGCAGATTGAAGGGCCACACCACCCAATTTTATTGACCACAGGTTTGAATTTTCTTTTAAATACCAATGGAACTTTTCCAAACAATAACATCTAAAGACTAACCACTGGAGACATGTGAAATCACCATCGTCTGCACAATGCTCGAGTTTATTAGCTTCAAGAACCAAGAATCTTAGTCTACAGGATTCTCCTTTGGCTACTTTCCATACATTTCCACACAAGGCATTCTCCAAGTCACCGGTAAACCTTTTCAAACTCTGCTCACTGCCGTGTTTACACTGAAAACCATGCAACAAACACATCATCATCATAAAAACAAATTGCCGAGTCGTTAGCAACTGCAGAGGTGTAAGTTTTGTGAGATAATTTCATTCTGTGATTCTATTCTAGAGAAATACAGCTTCCCCATTTTTTATTTCTTACTGTTAGTTGTTGGAAAATTGAACATTTCGTTCATTTATCCTAACAGAAATGGTAGTCCTATTTTATCTTCAAATAAATAGAATATAATTAGTAGTTGATGAATGTGGTTCAATAATAGTTATGAAATTAAAGTACAGAGCAACATCAGCCTAACATAATTTCTCAAATAAGAAACTTTTCATTCTCTGATCTGTTGGGGAAAGGCAAGCTTATTCTGCAACATCTTTGAAGAATACGATTTTTGCAAGAAATTTCAAGAACATGATGCATCTGTAGTCTAGAGCATTCAGTAGCTTAATAAAAGAAAATGGTAAAAAAGAAAAAATATAACATGAAGACTAACTACAGGATTTGAAAACCCTCTCCTAGAAACCAAGATCACGGTAAAATCTTTCATTCGAAACCTTACACAATGCATGCATGAAATGGATGTAATGAATCTCATGAAGAAGTTTATAGAATTATAGTTAGCCTTGCACATCAATATTAAACAGTCAAGTTTAGACGGAAGCAATTCCCCTTACCTAGCTACCTGTTGATCTTCAATACTTGAGACAAGCAGCTTCAATTCAATTCCTAGCTTGAAAATATTTCAAAATTAAAAGGTATTCAATTAGGATATACCAATCTGCAAAAGCATATTTGTAGTTGGGATTAATTGCAAAACAGAAACATATATAGATGTAAAGTAGTATATTAATCATCAAATGAAATATGAATGAATTTACCTGGTAGGCAGGCAGCTTGCCCCAGTCACCAACATCATTTCTTCAAAAACTCAACCTCTGTCTTTTTTGACATGCAGATAGCTCTTGAGCCCATGTTTCAGTACCATCTATACAATAGTAATCATATTGATGACATAGTAATGATTTTAGGGTGTATCATTCTATCTTTACTAAGAATTGAATGATGTTAATTCCAACATTATATTGTAGTTCACTGTCTTCAATTCTTCAGCTTTGAGTGCAAAGACACTGGTACGTAAAGAAAAAAGCATATATATAATATATATTTCCATCTGTAATGTAAATCATGCACCCTACTCCTACTTTATCTGCACTAAGTTGGCACCCATAAATTTGCACAATATATATGACACACAACTATCACATGAAATTCCTAGCTTTATGAAAATTCACATCTTTGATTATTTTTAAAATATCAGTAATATTATGTATACCCTCGCCTCTACTCAAATTTTATTTTACTTCTTGATTTTAATTTGTTCTACCAAAAATTCGGATGTTTGGTTTTATTGAACATCATTCTTTTTTAACAACACAAGCCCTTCCTGTATGTAACAGATCCCCACATTCATCTTAACAAATTAAAGAAAATCACCTCAAGATTGACTACAGGATCACTGTAAAATCTTTCATTTTAATGCCTTACAGAATGCCTAAAATGGATATAAATATAATCAATCTCATGAAGAAGTTTTTAGAATTATAATAAGCCTTTGACAAATCATCAATATCAATTAGTGAGAGGCACAACTGTTGAACAAAAAATATAAAAACAATAAAGTGTAGTCTCAATATGAATTTAAAGTTTTAGTTGAAACAAAACACATCCATCTATCCTTCAAATACAAGGAAATAACTAATTAATACTCGACTACTAGCACCTTAGCTTCCCAGTTTTCAAAAAGGTATTCAATTGATATACCAAATTAATTATATTGCGAGAAGTAGAGAAAAGAAACACAGATGTAAATTAAAGTAGTATATATGTGATGATCATCACATATAGGCACCAGATGAGATGAAATACCTTCCTAGTTGCCGCAGTCACATATACTCATGAAGTAGTAGTAGCTCTTTAATGACCAACATACATCCATCTTCTTCTCCTTCACAATATAATGTTTGCTAATAAAAAGTTATCCACCGTCTTTTTAACACAAAACTCTTGAGCCCATCTTTCAAGACCAACTTCTGGATACTCGCTTTGCAGGTTTCTTGATTCCATTAATGAGGAATCATTAAATCTTAACCAATATAATGAATTTATTTTTTGTATATGCAACTATATCTACTGTATTTGGCATGCAAATAAAAATATAGGAGCAAGACACATGTAACCTAACACATACCGTTTTCCAACAGTTATTTACTATGAGGCCAGGCTGGCCCCCCAAGTCATCTTACATATATAGACAATTCTGTATGTGTATTCTGTGAGTCATCATATTCGTGGCCAAAGATTTTGATCTGTGAAAAATAATGTAGAAAAACAAATGAGATGAGATAAAAGAAATACTAACTGACTTTGTAAAGAAAGTCAGCATTCAATAGAAAAGAAATAAAGAGAAACATGCTTTAGCTTCTAACCTTAACATCATTATTGGATCTTCTCTTCTGTTTTAACTGCTTAGCAGAAGCGACAAGGGAAGACTTACACCCCTCCAACTCAATTGACTTCAGGGGGTAAATTTCTGCAAAAACCATTGGGATTTGTTCCAAACAATTACAGGATCTTAAGACTAAGTGCCTGAGCACTGGAAACTGATTCCACCATACAAGTTCCCCGTGCTTGAGCATCCGAAACTGATTACAGCTAACGTCCCACTGCTTGAGTTCTTTAGCTTCAAGGAGAAAGTATATTAATTGACAAAATCCTCCATCAGCTACTTTCCATACCGTTCCATGGAAGGCATTTTCCAACTTGAGCACCTCAAGCTGGGGTAACCTGGCAATTACATTTAAATCCCCCTCAGAAATATTAGTCCCACTCAACTTCAACTTCTTCAATCTTGAAGGATACATACACTTTTCTGGAAGGGCTGCATTCAAACCAATAGAATCCGAAATGCTAAGCTTCTCAAGCCCTTCCAAATAGTCAAAATGATCCAAAATAATAGGATTGCTGCAACATCTTCTAATGTGACTGGGCTCTATGTCATCCTTCAGGAAAATTTTCAGATTTTTTATGTTAGGGAACTTGCTATACACCTTTTGTCTGCAATGAATTGGTCTCACCACCCAAGATAATGTTTGTAAATTGTTTTTATATGCACTTGGAGGATCTACCATATATGAATTGCCAAGTTCGAGATGCCTTAAGTTTGGTGGCTTCCAAATACTGGATGGCAAATGGACTGTTGGTGCTCCATTACCGGAAACAACAAGTGTCTCTAAATTTAGATTATTTAACACTACAAGATCCAGATCCTCAAACCATTGTGTTATGGATAGGTATCTCAGAAAAACTAAACCTTCTAATTGCACTGGCACTCTTTGAAGTGATATAGAAGTATCAAAAGCCAAAACTCTTAGCAGCTTGGGAGGAACAAACATTTCGGGATTTTCAAGAAAGAAGAAAATGGAGCGAGGGATGTTTCTACCAAAGAGCACATAATAGTCAAAATAGTGTGAGTAAGAACTTAGCCAACGACAGGAATTTGTAAATGTTTTTAATGATAATCCTAAATGTTGCTGAGTATTTACTGCACATAAAATACCTTCTTTTTGAGCTTCTCCTACGCAGAAGCTATGTAAGGCACTGTGCATTCTACAAGTCTTTATTTTGCCGTTACAACTTCGATCTTCAATTAAGAGAAGACTTCTATCAGTAAGCTCTTGTAAGTACTCATAAGCTTCATTTTCTAACTCCATATGTTTCAATGGCTTCATCATTCCCTCGGCAATCCACAACCTTATAAGCATTTTAACCAGAATATTTTTACGTTTTGGGAAGACTCCAAAGTATAGAAAGCAAAATTTCAAATGATGTGGCAACATATTGTAAGTAACACTAAGTTCTTTGCGATCTAGAAGTCCCAATGACTCTAATTCCTTCTCAATCGCTTTCCACCCTTTTTGTATGTTGTTGCATTTAGATAAACGCCTGGCAACTTCAACAATTAACTGGGGTAATCCATCACATTTCTCCACAACATGGTTCCTAATATTTTCAAATTTAGGGGCCAAGTGCTCTTCATCAATAGAAAGGATATTACAAAATAGTTCCCAGCTTTCTTTTTGATCTAGCAAAGTCATCTTATGGATATGGTATCTTTTCTTGTGGACATCTAGGCTGAAGTAGTGTCTAGTGGTTAGTAATATGTAACTTCCATCTAATCCATTATTAACAACACAACTTATGATGTCAATCCAAGCTTGCTTCCAAGTTTCCTTGCTCGTAATGTTGTCCAAAACAATTAGATACTTCTTACCACCAAAGCATTTGCGTACCTGCATTTCTAGTTCATGAGGAGTGCTTCCCTTTTTAATTACATTTGGCTCTTCCACTGGTGTAATTGAGTGAAGAAGTTGGCTTAGCATTCTGGTCTTATTGTAGTGTTGAGGATGATGGGGTAGAGTAACCCAAGCTCTTACATGGAAATAGGATGCAAGTGATGGATCTTCATACACATTTCTTGCTACAGTCGTCTTTCCAATACCCACCATTCCAACAATTGAGATTATACCTGGTATGAAAAAATGGGGAGAAAAGAGTTGTTCCTTTATGACTCTACAGTCATTGTGACGGCCAACCATTCTGCCATCAGAATCAACTTTCACAGCGCTAGCATGTCTTGACCAAGTATTTGATGGTTGAGTTTGATTTGCCTCATCATCATCATCATCATCATCATCATCATCAACTTCATTGCTGCTGCTTCTACTTTTGATTATGTTCAACAACTCTTGTACGCTTTCTGCTGCTTCTTGCAAGGTGTGATGGAGTTTCTGGGAAGCTCTTTCTTTATATACGGTGTGTTTGACTAGAAGGAACTTTTTTAGTCGTATTTGGAGGTCATTTTCAGTTTTGAGTGCCAAGTTTGTGATTTTGGTTTCCAGTATTTTGATTGCAGCACCAGAATTATTTGAATTCCTCTTCTGCAATAAGCAGTCTCGCAGGCATGAAAGCTGGTGTGAGAAATATGACATCGTCTTTTGTATTCCATCACAACCATGCACCGTTGGGAAGTGATGCGTAATTTTGTTGATGAGAATAGTTAAAGCAACAGTAGAACTACCCATTTTTGATAACTCCAACAGGTCTGTTGCATATTTTGCAGCTTCTTTCAAAGTTTGATGGAGGAGGAGTTGATGGGAAGCTGCAGCTTTTTCTCCTCCGTGTTGATGAGCGAGAAGGAAGTTGCTAAGTTGTAGTTCAATGTTGTCTTCAGCTTTGAGTGCAAACTCTCTGATTTCCATTTCTAAATCTCTCACTTTGAGTACTGCATCAACATCACCATCTGTTGGAGGATATAATATCTAGAAGGGTAGAATTGTAATTCACATTGTTTCCATTTTATTTTTCCCTTATATAAACAAAACCAGTGTGTACAATTATAGAAATATATCAATAATATCTTTCTTCTTCGCTCCATCTCTGCCTCTTGTTTATCTCTGCTTCTTCTCCATCAATGTAGATCGTTATTCCAACATGGTATCAGAGCGGCGGGGGCTCATCCACGCTGTTACTTTTTCCGGTGCCGGAGAAGTCGATGAAGTGAAGCGACGCCGTGCAATCCTAGTCCATCCGCAGAGAATGGTTCCAATCCATCCGCAGAGGATGCGTAGCAACAAAGCCTATGCTAAGACGATCCGAGTCTGTCCATCGTCGATCTCCATAGCTCTTCCGCAGCGGAAGGAAGGAGATCCGTGGATTCCAAGACGATCTCAGGCGAACTCCACAACCGTTTCGAAGGGGAAGGAAGGAGCTCGTCCGATCGTTCAATCTCCGAATCTGGAGCAAACAGCCGCAGCGGTTGTATATTTCCATCTCAAATACGTTCAGGGAGCCATAGCCGTAGCCCTTCCGCAGTGGAAGGGAGGAGCTCCGTCGATTCCGGTCAATCCGCAGAGGATTCCGATCAGTCCGGACGGCAATTTGGCCAATATGCTTGATTCGCGCAGTGCGTTTTTCTGTTTAGCCATCGGACAAGCCGAGAAGCAGAGTCGACTCAGTCTCCGTTTTAAGCAGTATTATTCTGAGAATAGGGAGCTCCGATTGTTTTTTGGCGCTTTAGCAGAGTTTTTCTTTGTTCTTCTTCCGGTTCAGTCGATTGTCGCCGTCGTAATTTCGACATTAATCGCCGCCAGAGCTTACAGGAGAAAATCTCTCGACCTCTCCGGTGCTGTCGCCAGTTTCCTGGTTATGTCTATTCACTTCGCCGTTAGTTATAGGTTTGGAGCGATGCTGCTTGTGTTCCTCTTCACTTCGTCGAAGCTAACGAGATTCGGAGAGGATAAAAAGCGAAAACTCGGTGCTGAATTTAAGGAGGGCGGTCAGCGCAATTGGATTCAAGTCGTCTTCGTGTTGATTTCATGGAAGTTGATTGGTTCGCAGGACAAGTGCCTTGGCTCAAATGACTCATATCTTGTCACTTCTTTAATTGGAGCTGCAGCAAGTGTGGCAGCATAGAAGATGCTCAGTTTGTGTTTGATGAAATGCCGGAGAAGACCTCTGTTGGATGGGGTGGATGGTTTCTCGTATGGAGTCAGCCTTAGTGTCTGCTGGTTTGAGTAATTTGGTTTTGAATGGAGTGTTAAATCACAATCCCTCAGTGAGAATAACAATGCTGAATGCAACACAGTTGTTCCCATCCTTCTGCTGCAGATGAAAAGTTGGTGGACTAAATGAGTAGCATGGATTCGCAGTAGCAATTCTCCTTACCCTTTGTGTTTAAGCTGGGCATGTAGGATCTACACGCTCCAGCTTACGGGGGGGTGTTGGAGGATATAATATCTAGAAGGGTAGAATTGTAATTCACATTGTTTCCATTTTATTTTTCCCTTATATAAACAAAACCAGTGTGTACAATTATAGAAATATATCAATAATATCTTTCTTCTTCGCTCCATCTCTGCCTCTTGTTTATCTCTGCTTCTTCTCCATCAATGTAGATCGTTATTCCAACACCATCACCACTGGATTCCATCTGGAGAAGGGCTTGCAAAGAAGAAAGATTTTCAAGGAAAGAGTCCATGATTCCTTCTGGATCATGGAGACCAAAGTGAATCTCAATGGTTTTAATGAGAGAAGTTAAAGCAACAAAAGCCATCTAAGATATCTCTCAATTCCAATCTTTAATTTAATTTAAGAATACGTTTTGGTATTGCACACTGAAAAACTAGATGGATCAAATATATATATATGCAAGCAAGAGTCTCAGTGAGAAGAGCTTAAATTAGCTTGCTGCAGGCATATATGTTTTTATTGTGATTTCATTAATAACCAAAAATAAATAAAAAAATTCAGTTTATTAATAATCTGAAATTAAAGTACAGTGGTCTATTTGAGGACATGAATACATATGTATTCTCATGGAGTATAACTCGGCCCACGTATACAAATTTCAATAGTTATGCTGTGCAACCGAATGTACCATGCGCATGGTGCATACAGTTTAAAACGACGTCGTTTTGATTAAAAACGCGCGTCCCACTTTAAAAAAAAAAAAATCAGGTTCGACTCTCAGCAATAGCATTATTGTGGATATATAATTATGAAATTGTGGATATATAGTTATGAAATTGTGGTTATATAGTTATGAATTTATGGATATTTAGTTCATTCATTGTGGATATTTAGTTCAATCATATATTGTGGATATTTAGTTCATTCATGGTGGATTTTTACTTCATTCATTCATTCATTGTGAATTTTTACTTCATTCATTCACTGTGGATATATAGTTATGAAATTGTGGTTATATAGTTATGAATTTCTGGATATTTAAAAATGCTATTGCCGAGAATCGAACCTGATTTCTTCTTTAAGTGGGACGCGCGTTTTTTTAACCAAAACGGTGCCGTTTTGCAACCGTATGCACCTTACAAGGTGCATTCGGTTGCACAGCATAATTTGCGTACAAATTTTATTAGGCAAATAAAAATGAATTAAAAATAACAATAACCTACTTTATTTTTTAAATCAATCAAAAGATAGAACCTTAGCAGGAAATAAAAAAATGAAGTACATTATATGTAGTATTACTCTTTTTCATCTCATCTTTTTTCAAACTTTCATTATGCTTTATTTGTCGTCTTCTCATCATTACACATTACTTTAATATACAATAAACTTGGCAACTTTAATAATACAATTATATATTATTGTTGTCTTTTCAATAATAACTAAACAATTCCTTTCCTATTATACATTAATTAATATATAAAGTTGGCAACTTTAATAATGCAATTATCTAGCTTCTTTTTTATTTTGAACATATTAAAAATGCAATTATCTATTACTGTTGTCTTTCCAATTTATTATAATTTATGAAAAATTATCTCAATTATTTTAAAATATATTTTTATATCTAAACTAGTTTATTATCTCTTATTTAATTATCGTCATAACAAGTTAAATATTTTTAAAGGTTAATAGCACTTTGGTCTTCAAAATATGTACAAATGATCAAATATTTAATCCCCAATTACATGCCCATAACAATGTCTCGTTTGACGTTTGAAGTCCATAACTTAGCACTTTGATGTTATAATTAAGAGTAACATTCACTCACTCTTATAATTAAGGGACTAATTAATTTGATTATTCTTGTACATTATAAGAACTAAAATTACAATTAAATCTTTATTTATGTATTTATATATTATTTCAAAATATTATATTTATTAAAATTACTAAAAGATTTTTCCTATAAAATATAAAAGCTTCAACCATAATTTTTTTTTACTTACACAATTCCAATTATTTTCAAAAATTCATTCAACAGTTTTAAATAAATTTCATTATTATTGTTTAAATAAGTCTTATGATTGAGTAAGAGTTTTAGAGTTTTTTGTTTTTAATTTTAAATTTATTGTTTAATCTCCTTGTTCGGAATTGGTTATTAATGATAATTACTAAAGTTGACAACTACTCTGCAATAATTTATAATTGGATCACAACAAATTATAAGCATTTCAATTACATTTGTTATTTAAAATTCCTCCAAGAGGCATTTTAACTTATAAGCTTTTTCTAATTGTTTTAGTGTTGTTTGATTTAGGCTTATTTTTTTATTTTATTATTATTATTTTTAAATCCTTCTGTCTTCTTAGTATGTTAAAAAGAATTTATAACTAAAATATTTGCATTATTGTGGCTCCATCCCCATATCTTTACACTACATATACCACTACTAAAGTTGATAGCTAAAAAGTTTATTTAACACACTCACATAAGAAAGTTTGCATTATTGCAGCAACTTTTGTTATACAATTCATTAAATAGTGTTATCTTTCCAATGTTAGATCACAATTAACTGTCTATTAATTTCTTCAAGCAATTCAATCAAAAACCAACCCCGACGGAGCATTTGCTTCAAGAAAATATGCCATATATTACTTTAGGAATGTCAAATTCACAGAAATAACACATTTTTTAGGAATGTGTTTAATTTGTGTTTAGTTAAAACTGAGATACTACAAAATTAATTAATTTGATTAAAAGTTATGTTTTATATAATAATAATTAGGAATAAGGGTCAAATAGGCTATCCAACTGCACACAATAATGCAATTAGGCCACTGAACCTAAAAAAGCAACAATTAGATTTCTAAACTAACAATTTTCTTGCAATTAGTCTAATTTGTAAGTTTTCTAGGTTGCTAGCAGGTCACCTTTAATTTAAAATATTTTTTTAAAATTTAAAGTATTTTTTAAAATTTTATTATTTAAAATAATAATTTAATTTTTTTTTTTAAAAAAAAAAGAAGAAGAAGATCGTCTCAAGCCATGGATTCGTCTCCATGACCGGAGACCTCTTCGTCTCTGGCCGGCCGGAGACGAAAAAGTTATCTTCGCCTCCGGCCAGAGACGAAGAAGTTATCTTCGTCTCCATGGCCGGAGACGAAGAGACTCTTCATCTCCGGCTATGGAGACGAAGATAACTTCATCGTCTCCGGCCTTGGAGACGAAGAGTCTCTTCGTCTCCGGCAGTGGAGACAAAGAGACTCTTCGTCTCCATGGCCGCAGACGAAGAGACTCTTCGTCTCCGGCCGGCCAGAGACGAAGATGTCTCCGGCCATGGAGACGAATCCATGGCCGGAGACGATCTGTTTCCTTTTTTTTTTTTTTTTTTTTTTTTAAAGTTTTAAATAATTATTTTAAATAATAAATATTTTAAAAAAATATTTTAAATTTAAAAAAATATTTTAAATCCAAGGTGGCCTGCTAGCAACCTAGAAAACTTACAAATTAGACTAATTGTAAAAAAAATGTTTAGTTTAGGGATCTAATT